CCCGGCGCCCCCCGGGGGGGGGGAAGACCCCGGGCCCCCCCCCCCCCGTCCCTCTGCCCTTTCCCGGCCTCCTGCATCCCGCCCCGGGGCGGGGGGATCCGGTGTGCGGGGGCTGCTCTCACCCCGCGGCCCCGCAGTACCCAAAGCCCCCGACCTTGCAGGAAGGAGGGGGGTAATTAAGAACCAGCCCAGCGCTCACTAATTAGCACCAAGGCGCTGCCCTGCGCCCTCTCCAGCTGCCCCAGCCTACCTGCACTCTCCCCCGGGTCCCAGGCAGCGGGGTTGGGGTGCAGGCAACCCCCCGAACCCCGGTTGAACCGCATCCCGGCACAGGTTGCGGCAACAGCGCCCTGAGCCACGACCTGCACGAGTTGGGCTACACCGACGTCACCAGCATCGACTTCTCCCCCGCTTGCATCGAGGCCATGCGCGCCCGCTACGCCCGCTGCCCCGGCCTGCGCTGGGCCGTCATGGACATCCGCGCCCTCGCCTTCCCCGACGCCGCCTTCGACGTGGTGCTGGAGAAGGGCACCCTCGACGTGCTGATGGTAGAGGAGACCGACCCGTGGGACGTCTCGCCCCAGGCGGCCGCCGCGATGCACCGGGTGCTGGCGGAGGTAACGGGGTTGGGGGGCAGAGGGTGGACCCCGTCCCCATTTGGGGTGGGTGTAGGTGTAGAATGTCCCCTCGCCACCCTGCTTCCCTGGGCATGCCCCCACTGGTGCCTCTGCTGCCCCGCAAAGGAACACCCATGGGTGGTCCTGGCAGCCTTGGGGGTGGGGGACCCCCCCTCTCCCACCCCACTGCCTTCCCCCCAGGGTGGTAGATGGAGCAGGCTGTGTCCCTGGGGTCCTGCTGGGGGGCTGGGTGACCCCCCTCTCTTTATTTGCACTCTAAATGTGAAGGGGTGGCAGGAAAAAAGGGCCCCATCCTGGCCTGGGTGGCTGTAGGGGCACCCGAGGGTGCCCAGGGGGGACCTGGGGCGGGGGGGGGGGGACGCTGGGGAGCGCCTCGCGCGCCAGGGCA